AGCGTAACTCCCAAGATATTGGATGGAAATATGGGGCTTTATGTGATCCAAAAAATATGGATCGGTTAAGATGTAACCTGTGTTCAAAAACTATGTCCGGGGGTGTTTATAGAATGAAAGAGCATGTTGCTCACATTACCGGAAATGTTGCCCCCTGTCCAAAGTCAAATAAAGATGATCAAGAGCAGTGCCGAAATGCAATTAAGGAGGCAAAGAATAAGAAAAGAAAGAAGAAAGAAGAAGAAGGGTTACTTAGAGCGGAGGTGGATATTAATAGGCAACAAATAGAGGATGAACTGGAAGAAGGGCTTGGGAATTTAAAGTCTTCTAAATTTCTTGGGCCAATAGACAAGTTTGCATCTACCATAAATCTCGAGGCTTCTTTGGGTTTAACGAAAAAACAGCAGACGATCACTGATGCACTTTGCAAGGAGAGAACACATTCTGTGCGCCAATATTGTGCTAGATGGATGTATGAAGCATGTATTCCATTTAACGCTATTGACAATGATAGCTTCAAGCTATTTTGTGAAGCGTTAGGGCAGTTTGGACCCAGATGGGAACCTCCCAGCCAATATGAATTGAGGGAGACACTGTTGAGGGAAGAAGTAGAGAGGACTAAAGGTTTACTAAAGAGTCATGAAGAAGAATGGGTGCGAAGTGGATGTTCTGTGATGACTGATGCTTGGACTGATCGGAAAAAAAAAGTATTATGAATCTGTGTGTTAATGGGAAGGAAGGTACATGTTTTCTTTCCTCCCAAGAGGCCTCAAATGAATCGCATACAGGTCAATTTATATTTGAGTACGTTGATAAGTGCATTGAACAGCTGGAGTCCGAAAATGTTGTTCAGGTAGTAACTGATAATGCCACGAACAATATCTTGGCATCGAAGCTTTTGAAGGAGAAGAGACCTAAGATATTTTGGTCGGGGTGTGCAGCCCACACTACTGATCTTATGCTTGAAGGTATCTCTAAATTGGCCAGGTTTAAGAAAGTTATTGACCAAGCAAAGGGGCTCACCATTTTTATATATGCTCACCACAAAACTTTGGCAATGATGAGAAGTTTTACGAAAAAAAGAGATATTGTGAGGCCAGGTGTGACAAGGTTTGCAACTTGTTTTTTGACATTGCAAAGCTTACTTGACAAAAAAGCTCAGCTCAAATCTATGTTTGGTAGTGATGATTGGGATCAATGCAAGCATTCAAAAACGGCCAAAGGTAAACTTACTTTTTTAAGTGAAAACCCCATGTATGATCACCCATTATTATTTAATCCTTCATTTTTTAAATTGCAAAAATATGCCAAAACATGGACATAGTTCTCCAAACCCCATGACCTCGAAGTTCAGAAATGCTCAAAGATGAATGTTGCTTAGATGCTCAGTAACCAGAGAGAACTTTTTACTTTTATTTAATGCTTTTATTATTAGATCTTGATACTGGAGCTTTTATGTCTCTGTTGGCAACAAAAAACTGCAAGATAAAGTCAGGTTCTTAACTACCAGTAAGATGTGTTTGTTTTCACTTTTCATGTAGAACTTTTATTCATTTTGTACCTTAAACAGATTAAGAAGACCTTCTTTTTTATCTACAAAAGAGATATCTCCATGAATATAGGAATCAGCAAGGCCTAAATCAGCCTGAGTTTTAGGTAAACTTGCTTTATTATTTTCAAATGTTAAGCTAAACTTGATTTTTTTAGGTAAACTTGCTTTATCAACTGTGATGAGTCAAAGCTTTTGGAGTTCTATCAGTTTATGCTTAGCCATTTATGCGCCTCTGGTGAGTGTTCTTCGCCTCGCAGATGGAGATAAGGCAACAATGGGATTTATTTATGGAAGCATTTTAGAAGCTAAGAACTCAATCAAGGAAGCAAGCAATAACTTGGAGAAAAACTATCAGCCTATATTTGATATTATTGATGAAAAAAATGAAAGATAGGCTGGATAGCTCTTTGCATCTAACTGCTTACCTTTTGAACCCATACTATTTTTATAAGGATTCAAATATTCTGTTGGATCAATCGGTTATGGATGGATTTCTTGATTGTGTGGAGACATTTTATCATGATGATTTTGATAAGCAAAATAGTGTTGTGAATCATGAAATGAATGTGTACAAGAGCAAGGGAGGGCAGTTTGGGAGACCTTTGGCAGTTAAAAGATGTGAGAAAAATGATTCCAAATTTGATCCTGGTATTCACCTTTGGTTCCTTTTAATCTTTACGACTTCATTATTTAATTTTTCCATAATCATCCATTCATTCTTATATTGAATTTGTGTTCAGCAAGTTGGTGGACAAACTATGGGCATCATGTGCCTAATTTACAGAGGTTAGCAACAAGGATTTTGTCCTTGACTAGTAGTTCATCGGGTTGTGAGAGAAACTGGAGTACTTTTGAATGGGTTAGTAAACTAGTTACTAGTTTACTACTTTAATAATTTTTACTACCTTTTATATAAAGTTATTTAATTATATTAAGTTAGATGATTAATTGTACTATCATTTTGACTCACATCTTTTTTTAATGTTATGTTTTAGATTCATTCAAAGAAAATGACTAGGTTGGATGTCCATCGTTTGAACAGTCTTGTTTATGTACAATTCAATGCAAAATTACTTAAAAAGAAGAACAAGAATATGGATGAGCATCTTGATCTCCTAGCAAGTGATGCTACAAATGCACAAGGGTGGTTGGTTGATGCCCACGAAAGTGATGAAGTGATTGATCTAACTGTCATTGATCTAATGGTCACTGAAACATCTGATGGAAATGAGGTGGTTCAACCTCGACGAAGTGCTAGGCTAAGAGAACTTTATGATGATGAGTTTGAATCGGATGTTGAAGAAAATATGGACATGGATTTTGAGTAAGATGAAGAAGAAACATCATAATTGCTATTGTTTTGTTTTAACTTTTACAAAAAAAAAACAATATATGCTACTGTTTTTTTTCCTTCCCACACATGAGTTTCTGAAGCATCATAGTTATTTTTTGTGCCAGATTGTGTTATGTATTGGTGTGTAGTTTGTGTAATTAAAATCCGTATTCTAAATCTATAAAATGATGTTGCAGGGACAATGTTGATTGAAGAACAAACTTATGCCCTTGTGATCATGGTGCATTGATGACGGTGATCAAACTGCTGTAGATTAATATCTCTTTTGCAAAACTTTAGTTTGGGCTCAAAGTATTACAAGTTTTATCTTATTAGCTCATTGTGATGTACGAATGTTTTAACTTTTAATTATTATTGTAAACCTAGTTGTCCTAACTTATTTATTATTAAACTATGTAGTATGTAACATGTTTATTATGTTTAAACTTTAAACTTTATTTGTTTAATGTACTACGTAGTATTTTTTCCCAAGAATATTTTATTTTTTGATTTTATGTTGAATCCGAGTTGGCCGCCTAGTCGCCGACTAATCGGCGCCTAGTCCGCCTAGGCGCTAGGCGGTGCTTGACCGCCCGACTAGCGCCTAGCGAATTTTAGAACATTGGTGGTTCTGCATATTTCTCTATCCTCTGCACAAATCTCAACCACATAGTTTTTACTAATCTTATTTCTCACATGCTTTGCACTTGGCAAAGTACACTAGGATGGAGGTAGTATATACACATATATAATCTACCAGAGTACCGAGTACTTCGTATATATATAATCGTGTGTATGTGGATTACATGTAACCAAGCATTCCAGTCCAACTGGTTGTGAGGTTACCGTGCCTAGTGAAATGTCTAGAGTTCGAAACCCGATAGCACATAAGGGGTTGAAACTCAATGGAATGAGTTTCAACCCTAATTAGTGAGTGTGTGAGTTCATTTAAGTCCGAGCATTTGAAGTTGAGTGTATGACTCATAAAATATGGGTAAATAGAGATTATGGTTGAGCACGAGTTGATCAATTTAAAAATTATTTGAGATTTTTAATGTGCCGATGACGTGGCATTACTAAACCATAAAAACCGAGTTGCTATATCGTGGGAGCAGCCCACGGTGACCATGTTGTTCTAACCTGAAAAAAATCGCGTGTTAACAGTAACCTTTTGTTTGTTTTTAATTGTCCAGGACCAGAATGATGTAACTCGCGTGTAAAGAAATGTAACTCACATTGATAAAAAAATGTAAGTGCAGGCAGGTCGAAATGTAACTTGTATGTCTAATACAAATAATAAGAAATAAAATATTGATTTTATGAAAACAACGAGTCTAATTGCTCAATTACTTTACCTAAATTATGAATATGTTTTGTTTTTGATATTAGGACCATAAAAATGTTGTTTAAAATTTATGTTTTTGCTAAAAAATCATTTCTTACCAAAAAGTGACTGTTTTACTAAAAATATCTTCTATTTTTTGCAAAAAAAGAATTTTTTTTGCAGGGGTTTATATTGTGATGTAACGCATGTTATGAAAAATGTAAATCGCGTTGATGAAAAATCTAAGTTAGGTGTATGCAAAATGTAACTTGTTAAGGCAAGTCCAAATGAAACCCACATATAGGAAGATGTAACTAACGCATAATAAGATATAACTTCATATATTATCACATGTAAACAATGAAAATAAGGAGTCCAATTGCTCAATTAATTAAAGTAAACACCTAATATGTTTTGTTTTTAGTATTAAGGCCATAAAAATGTTTTAAATGAAAATAATTTTTTTTGTCAAAAAATCATTTTATTGAGGTGGGCTGGAAATTATACATATACCTATAATAATAAAAATAAATTGGGCTGGGCTGAGTTGGAGCCCACCCCTGCCCCAACTTAGATCCGCCCATGATTGGGATCATTATATCATGAGCATGTTATATCGATCCCACAGTATAATTCAACTCGTTTATTTAAGGAGCATGAACGAAGAAGATTAGCCATTGACAATACCAATGCACTAGCTCTTTATTATAATTATTACAATTTTCGAAAAAAATTATAATTACTAAATATTGTTAAGTTACAATTTTAAAAGTAATTCATTTATGTGGCCGGTGGGCTTCTCGTGGATTCCAAATGCAAAACCGTTCAGAGAAATCGCCATGTAGTCATTTATAACGAATCAATACCCGGAGAGTGTAAACCTCGGCAGAACCGAAGAATGGGAGTAGGGTTTCCAATCCAAATGCGGACATCTCTGCTATCCTTGCCGGAAGAACTCAAAATTGATATACTGATGAGATTACCAATAGAATCTCTGATTTGTTTAAGTGCTGTGAGTAAACCATGGCTCTCATACCTCACCAGTTCTGAATTCGTCTCTGCACACCTGTCTGAAGGAGCTACCAAGCAGTTCTTCTTTGCAACTACAACCGGTAGAAACCGCCGTTTCGCTCTAATCAAAGATGGCGACAGAGTCGACCGTGATCTCACGGTACAGTTCGTACCAATCATCAAACCTGATCAGCAATTCCAAGATAGGTTTTCAATATCTTTCCATCCTTGTGAGGCCACGGGGATCGAAATTGTGGGCAGCTTTGATGGATTGCTTTGCTTAACCTTTACCCACCCAAATTCTCACCCCTCAATTATATTATGGAACCCTTCTATCCGAAGACATGTGTTGTTACCGCCTCCCTCCATTCACACTCCAAGGAGAGGTGGTAATGGAATTGGATTTTGTGTTGCCAGTGACGGTGATTATAGGGTTGTGTGGGTCCATGAAAGGCATTGGGTCGAGGAAAGGCATGCAAATAGTGCTATGTCGGTTGAAATCTACTCTCTCAATTCGGGAAAATGGAGGATTAGACGATTTGATGATGATTTGTTTCCTACAAGATGGTTGCTGAGTGGTCAAGCTTTTGTAGGAGGTAAGATGCATTGGCTTGGATGTCAGTATGATGAGGGTTGGACGATTGAGTCTGATTATGCATACGAAATGTGCGATACTCGGGACAATTGTTCAATCACTTCATTTCACATAGATGAAGAGGTATTCGGAGACGTACCACTCCCAAATAGATTTAAACGTTTTGACTGGCCTGCAAGGCAATCTATTGCTGTGGTTAAGGATTCACTGGGTTTGATAGATATGACTGACCCAATATGTTGTGACATCTGGGTAATGCAAGATTATGGTAATGTGAACTCCTGGGCTATGCTATATTCCATTGGTTATCCAGATTATGATGATAAAAGATTACCCTTAATGGATGCATTAAACACTTGGAAGAATCCAGGAGTTTCTGCCGGCGCACACCAATCGTTCTCATTCATGGACCATGAGGCCTTTGTGGTGTATGGGGAATATGGTGATAATAGATTTGAGTATGTAGCAAAGTATGTGGAAAGCCTTGTTTTACTCGGACACAAAGATGCCGTTGCGGACGTGCATTTGCTTCAGGCTACTGCAGGTTCGAAATAATGTTATTTAGATTTCCACATTTGCTCAAATTCAAGATATTTCAAGCCAACATAATTTATATTCAATCTGAATTTAGTGCTTCCCCTCTTCTTATATTTATAATAGTTATTGACTTGCAGCTATTGAGTTTATCATATTGTTTTTTACCAAATTCATAATTTTTTTTCATGTGTTTCTACTCAATCTTTGGATTTAGAGCACATGGCGGAGGAGATTGCAGGTGATGGACAAGAAAACTAGGGAAGGTTTGACAAACTTCTAGCTTGCTTTCATACTTTAATCATTTAATATAAAGAACGAATTTTGAAATATTTACGTTTTAGAGAGTCAGCACATACCAAGTGATATTTACTAAATGTCATTTTATCTCTATAACAGTTAACTTCAATAGACTCAATACATCAAATGCTTCCTATATCTTTCTAGGCCATATAGCATTGAATTAGAAAAAATCAATATGTGCATGGCTGCATGCTAGATTGATACGTAGTATAGTACACAATATGTATGAACTTCTTCTAGAAGAATTAATTTGGGGTGAACTGTATTGGCTAAAATTAAAATAGTTTAGGGCAGATGACTTAAAAAAACCAACACGACATTGTTTGTACTGTGGAAATTATAGCATGTACCCCAATTTTTCATTGAAAATTAACCTTGTACTGTCCTGAGAATCAATAATATATTCATCCTAAAATTAAAGTTTATATCTCACTTTTTCGTCCAATTTGGAGATTGCGCCCTGCTACCCTATTTTAGCACCTCCATTGATTTTTCAGGGTGCAAAATAGATTTTGTTATTAGAATGGGGTGCAAACTCAAATTTGGACGGGAAAATGGTGTCCAATGTCCCAAGTCTACCCTCCTAATGCTATTTGGGACAGTGGTAGTACCGTAGTATTAATGGCCACAAATGTTGTGGATTTATTATCCTCTCATATAGTTTCATGCGAATTAATGCCTTTGAAACGAATGATTGCCTTTGCTACATAATTTGTTTATTTCTTATGTTGCTGAAATGCTACTGAATAATTCTTAGGGTTCTTATATCCCACAAGTCCACAACAGTTCCTTTTGTTGATATCTGTTGTTCTCTTAGCCTTGATGTAGCTTTAATCTGTATGCATCTGTGAGTTTCTTCTTCTGGGAGATGGTTGGTTGTACCCTGTATCTTTTTCTCAAAATTAAAAATATTAAAGCAACACCTTTGGTCTGTAGTACCTTGACCCGTGTGTTATTCTAGACTTCCTTTATTTTCTGGCATATCAACTGCAGAGATTTATATACCTCCAGTATGTGAGACATGGAATGACATCATACGTAACCATTATTGAGATAGGAAATTCTAAAATGTTAAATATGGAGTTTTAAAATAGTACTACGTATAAATGATTTAATCGTGTCTCTGGAATGTGGAGTAGAGCTTTTCCGATGCTAGTAGCACTGTAAGGTGGGCATGGTCGGTTAACCGGATTTTGGTTAACCAATTTTCGGTTAACTGCGATGTTGGTTAATATATTGTTAGTATCATTATCTGTTCCATAACATTGGTTTACCGGGTATAAGTTAACTATAATTTCGGTTAACCGCTAATCAGTTAACCAAAGAACCATGAAAAAGAAAAGAATAAATCCATCAAATTAATCAACATCTGTTTCGTTAAAAAAATATTAGTCCAAGATTAAATTAGAAACTTTTGCAGCATCAATTCTCAAGCTTCCAAACTTTAGTTAGTCTGTATAACTAGCTATTTATTATCTTTCGATGTGTACTACGGAGTATTACTTTTCCATACTATATGTTCCTATATCTATGATATTTTACAGTTATACCGTGTATACAGTATACGTATGTTACTTAAGAAAATATATACTCCATACATGTCAGTAGCTTAGCATTAGTCTAGAAGTATATTCTTTCCACTAGAGCTATGTAACTGATTGTAAAGTGTATATTTCAATACTGATATGAAGTGGACTGCATGTGAAGTTACGGTGATCGGAACCGTAGAAGATAATTTTAATATCGTAACCGTACCGCTAACCATATTTTCCTCCGGGTTGGTTAGCCGTACTGTGAGTTTTAAAAATTCGGTTCGGTTAACCGGAAAAACACCGGTTTTCCGGTTCGGTTAATCGGTTATTGTAGCAGAGTTACCTCAGATAGTCCATCCTGTGGTGTCAATAGTGCAGCATTTTACTGATAAGTCTGATATCATATTTCATTTCTTATGACCTCAAAAGGTTAAGCTTATTTATATATCTGTAAATACTTATTTAAGAAATGGCTGACAATTTTCTAATATTTGTAATATTGTTGTATTGTACTTCATGCATTTTCAGGACTTTCTGGAGGCAGATGCAGTATATAAATGTAACTGAACTAGGTGTGATATTGTCATGGTATGTGGTTGAAAGCTGGTTGCTTGGGATTTCAAAGCTTGTTGCTTGGGATTTCAAAGCTGTTATCTTCATTTCAGCTGCCAGAACATGTTTTGTTTTTTGCAACAATGGTGAACAGTGTAATTGTACCAGATTTTTAATGATATCAGGAGGTTTCACCAAATTTAACCTGTACTGTATTGATGGTATTGCAGCTACTTGAAGTTGAAATTAATGGTACTATAAGCAGCTGTTTTTTTGTTTGGGAAATTTGATTGAAATACAGATTTTGTATTGTTGAAATATCACTGTTTTGCGAAGGATTGGAATATGTTTTGATTCAACATTTTGTCCGGCAGGTGGAGCAACAGTGCAACACATTTTTGTTGCTGCATTTGCAAACGTATTTATGGATAGTGTTGGACCCAGTTCGGGCCGCCCGGCCTGGCCCGCTACTGTGCGGGACTGATACCGGCCCGGTTCTTGGCTCCGGGTTGGGCCTAGGCCCGGTGGGGGGCGGGTCTGGGATTGGGCCTTATATTTGGCGAACCGGCCCAGCCGGGTCGGGCCCGGGTCCGGGCCGAATTGATTTTTTTTCTTTTTCATTTTTTGGGGTTCCACCCGGGTTGGGCTTGATGGTTAGGAGGGGTTTGGGGGGTGGGGGTGAGGGGGTGTGTGTGTTAGGAAAGCAAAAAAAAATAACTAAACCGGAGCCTTGGCCCGGAACTGACCTGGAAACCAGAATCGGACCGGAACCGGCCCGGCCCGGGTCATGACTGTTTATGGAGCAGTAAATTTTCTGGTAATGCCTTTGAATGGGGAAATGAAAATAACTGTAAACCATTATAGAACCACCTTGTTTTGAGGCTTCAACCGATGGACTCTTGTTTATTATTAAAAATAAGTGGAAATTTAAATTGTATACGACTATTTGTTAATTGTTAGCTCTCTCTTGGATTAATAATTAATTAGACGAAGTACCCGTGCAATGAACGGGTCTATCTAGAATAGAATAATACTTTTTGAAAATAGTACTCCCTCCGCTCTAAAATTAAATTCCGAGTTTTACTTCACGGGTTGTAATGTTATTAAAGATGTAACGCCCAAATGGGTATAGTAGGGGGAATAAATGAATAGTGAAATGAAGGTAACACGCATCAATTCCATGTAGTGATTTGAGGATAAAATGATAAATGAATAGTAAAAACTTATCATATATGGAAAGAAATTCAAGTAAAACTTATCATAGATGTAACGCCCAAATGATGTATTGTTGTCGTCGTTGGAGAAGATTGGCGCCGCCTATCCGTTTACTCTGGTTGCATGAAGCAGGGATGAGTTTGGTTATGCAGGGACGGAGGATTGATGCATGGCCTTTGGCAGACAAAGGTCACGGAGTATCAATTAGCATGGTACCGGTGGTAAGACGTCCTCCTGAACCACCACCATGGGATGTACGAGGTGCTAGAGTTCGTGAACGCTTTTCTTGTAGTTTTTATCTGTTTGTTATTTGTTTTCTTGTGTCCACTTTTGTTGTTGGTTTTGACAGTTTGTTTGAGTTTTTTGCCTCTCTTTATGTCATTGGGTATGGTTGGATCTATGGGAATAGGTTTGGCTGTGTCAAACCCACTACATGGTTAGCGATTCGTGTTGCTCTCTCAGGGGTGACCGTCTCAAAGTCTCACCATAGGGTTACAGTCGTAGTTGCTGAAGTTTCAGTTGGTGTCAGTTTTATTTTCCTTTTGCTTGATGTAATGATCCTGAATCTTTTGATATGAATAGAGGCCTGTTTGATGATAAAAAAAACCAAAAACTAAATTGTTTAAAAGTTGTTGCAAACACTCCCTAAATTTAGTTTTTAAGTCAAAAGTCGAGAAGAGCTTTTAATAAGCGCTTTCAAACACACTCTTACTTTAGTACATTTTTTTTCTTTTTCCTTTTTGATGGGTCTCCTTTATTTCTTGCGGAGTAATTGCTTTACATTTTGATTATTCGGTTACTTCATCACAAAGATGATTATTTTATCTTGGTTGGTGTGTCACTCCCTCCATTCCAATAATAGGGGGTGTAGTGAGTAGTATTTTAAAGAGAAAATATGTAATTTTGAACACTCAAAATATAAACACTAAATCTGCCACCGATTATATGATATCAATGATATTTTGTTCCTTGCATCGCAAATGTGAGAATGTAGTATCTTTCAAAATAAAAAATGTGTGACTTATTTTAGAACAATCGAAAAAGGATGTAAGATAGGTAAAATGGGACGAAATGAGTAATAAATAAAAGATATAGTTCTATACATAGAGTTATTTTTTGGACAATATGGTGCAAAAGTAGTTATGATTCCTCCTTAAACTTATTGAAATTAGTGAGCACATTTTGATTTCTCAGATGATTAAAATTATACTCATAATTATTCTACATCTCCTTAAGTTCAATTAGATCTCAATTTGCACTGGGAATGTTACATTTACCAATGATCATTTTATAATATGAATATTATCCGAAATATAACTAAAAATGTTTGAAAATTCCGAAATAGGACTGTCATGTTTTTATTCCCAAAATAGGACTATTTACTGCCATATTTTGGCAGTACCAAATTTAAAACATGACATTATTTTCCAAATTTGACAGTAATTACTCCTATTTTGGGAATAAAAATATGACGGTCCTATTTTAGAATTTTCAAACTTTTTTAGTCTTATTTCGGGAACTTTCCCTTTTACAATCTTACACGTGATAATGGATTAAGGATGTTTTTACTTGGACTAAAATTTGATAGCCTGTTCTGGTATCTTTAAATCTGGTCTGGTTTGAACTGACCTAATCTGATCTCGTAATGTTTAGTCTCTGTGTATTGTATAATTATGCAAGTCTGGTCTAATCTGGTCTGAGACTAAAAACAATCAGTCAAAGCATCCTAAAAACTCTAAGCGTAAAATATGAGGAATTCTTATTGAAATGTTAACCGGAATGGCTACTGAATTACATACAAAGTAGTACTCCCTCCGTCCCAGGGAGAAGTTCCCACTTTCCTTTTTTGGCAGTCCCAACAAAAAGTTCCCATTTCCCTAAATGGAAAATTATCCTACATTAAAACAGTGTCAAACAGTGCAAAACAATGCCAAATAGTGTCGAAACAGTGCCAAACAGTGTCGAAACAGTGCCAAACAGTAAAATTCATCTCTCAGTAACTTTATTTCCTAAATATGTGTGAAAGTCAACCCGGGAACTTCTCCCTGGGACGGAGGGAGTACTTTTTATATTAATTTTTTTTAATACAAGTTCATATTTTGTTAGTTGCATCGAACCTTTAGAGGTCGTTTGGCAACATTGTTTTTCGGCTTATCAGGCTTATCGGTCAACTTTTTCACCAAACACGTAACTTTGACTTTCTCGTGCTGAATTGTGTGATAAGTAGAAAAAGTAAGGTTGAAGTTACTTTTCTGGCTGTATTGACTAAAGTTACCGTAGACGACCATATTAACTATTTTTACATATAATTTTTTCTTCTTTGTTTTTTAAAAAATATAATTTAAATATATTTTTCTTAAATCAGCAGAATCAGCCATTGCAGACACTTCAACCAGAACTTCATAAATTTCAGCAGAAACAACCAAATAAGCCGATTTTCGTGCTACCAAACGAGCTCTTAATCAGTAAAACCATTTTTACTTATTTAGGGTTTACCAAAAATTTACTTACATTTTCATATTTGAGTTAATACTCCCTACGTATTTTAATGTTCCATACACTTTCTAATTTGGGATGTATTTAAAATTCCATACACTTTTCCTTTTGTTAAGTTTTTTCCTTAAAAATACTCAATGACACTTTTTCAACTTTTTATCCTCTCTCAGTTTTTCTACTTTTCCACCTTCTCTACTACTTTTTCTATACTATTCATTACCACTATCATTTTCCCTTAGATTTTGTGGCATAACCTAATGTAATGGTTCTTTTATATACGGAAGGAGTATTAATTTGTTATTTAAAAAAAAAATTAACTCACTTTTAATAACTTCACATCTTCACATATAACGTAGATGTAGAAATGTTTTCCGGTGTAAATGAAAACTTATGTTACAACTCTAATTAAGTGATCGATATTTTTTTTACACATTTTCAATTCCCTTCCCTTGGCGGCAATATAATTTTCCATCCAAAACATGTAATAACTTTACTACTTCATACTCCGTACTATATAAAAATAATGATAAAGATAAAGATTGATTCCAAAAATCAAATACTTTGTAATAAATTTTAAAGCCTATTTTGTGATACCAAAATTGGTTGAATCAGCTGATTATGCCGAAATTTATGAAATTACAACTGAAGTGACTGAATAGGATGATTCTACTTATTTATGAAGAAGAAAAATTAAAATATATTTTATTAATAAAAGAAAGGAAAAGTATATTTAAAAATAACTAAAATGGTCCTTTACACTAATGTCGGATGATACAGTCGGAAAAATAACTCCAACCTTACTTTTTCTTATTATTACACAATTTGACACTTGAAGTCAAAGTCAAAGTTTGTGAAAAAAATTGGATGATAAAGTGAAAAACAGTGTTATCAAACAAGCTCTTATATTTGTTGAATACATGAATAGTAAATTTTAAAAACCTAATAGGACATAAGGAAAATTATTAAGGTAAAATCTTAAGTATTAATAGTGGTAAATATTATATTTCTAATTATTTGATTCATAGTAGCAATCAAATAAATTAAAACATTTATATTGTTTGGATTAAATATATTGAACTATACCAATTCAATTAATACAATAAATATTGTTAATGCCTCATCTAATTAAATATTTTCCACAATACATTATAGCTAATTGACACACATATTGGTGTTTAAACTAATAGCATCTCCAATGCTACAATGTGCATGGTGTACACGTGGCATGAAAGAAATAGATAAAAAAGATTAAATTTATGAGATTTCTCTCTCATTGTTTCAACAATCATATGTGTTTTTTGTAAGTTTTTTCTACAATGTCAAACACAATATCTACTTCTAGACATTGTGTTTGACATTTTTTTGAAGAATCGATTTGAGTTACACATTGTGTTTGACATTATGGAAAAAACTTATCAGAAACATAGAAGATCGTTCAAATAAGAAGAAAGTTTTTCAATTTGTTATTTTTTTAATTGGCTATATCACATGCCACGTATGTTTTTAAATGTTAAGCATTTGTTACTTTGGAAATAAAGATGATAATCTATTAATAGGATATTGACCAATCTTGTAAATTTTGTAATAACAGATTTACGATGCAATTAAATCATTTTAATATATTGCCTCCGTGTAACTTTCTAGTAGT